AGCCCATTTGAAACTGCCAAACGTACAGCTTGGTGTTCGGTGGAATTTTCAGCTTAACGTTTTCGTCTTCTTCAGTGGTGTCACTCCACTCGAACTGCTCTGTGTTGACCAACTTTCCCCCAAACCTCTCTTTGAGGCTATACTGAACTTTACAGAGAGCTTCAATCAATTCTGAAACTTGGGCTTTGATTCCTACTTCTTCGCTTATTCCCATCTCGATGGACCATTCCAACTCTATGGAGGACATTGTGCTCCTGTCAAATCCAACGGTTTTCTTGATGGGTTTTCCCCATTCAATGGCAGTGTCGGAGTCGTTTTGAAGACATTTTACATCTTTCCAATACCCGAACACTTTTCCATGGGTGTGTGCTATACCACCAGGGATAAACTTGAGCACTAACTTGTGAACGCTGAAGTCGCCGCAATATTTGTTCAAGTTCATGTTGGTGCTTCTGTGATAAGTGACACCCCTTTCTCCAGCCTGCTTCAGACAGTAGACGTAATTATTGTTACCCCAGAAATAGATGCCATCTTGGAACGCTTGATGGATTTTATATTCAACGGCGTCTTCGTCTTTGTTCATGTTACTCACTCGTCTGTAGGTGCCTCTGTTGGCAAACACGATGTACCAATAACCAAAGGCAGAGTAGTAGCCGCTTCCTCCGCGACAGTTGCGATGAAGAGAGTAAACCACAGCGTCCTCGTCTTTACTCAGGTCGGTGACTCTGCGATACTCATCTCCCTTAATGATGTAGAAATGAGAGTCAGTGGCCAAGTAGTGATCGCCCCATCTACAGGCCTCACTTAGACGGTGAATCTTGATATCTTGACCAGCGTGAATATCTTTGCACCTCATGTAGACACCCACATCAGATCGGATAATATAGCAGCTGTTTTTATCACCACAAAAGTCTGTTCCTTTAGCCTCAGATGCAATCTTCGGCACGATCTCCGGATAATCTGAAGCGGCAGACATATTGTTGACTTGGTGGTTGCAGCTGATATAAGCTTTTTCCTTGAGTATCTGCAAAGAAGGCAATCCAAAGGGAAAAGATCGGGTTCCTAGTTACGTGCAAAGAAACAATTAAAATGGCGCAAGACCCTCTCTTTTGTAGAGACTGCCTCACATATGACCTTTACATTTTTCCAGCACTGAACTGTTTTACTCTCGCTAGGAATCACCACATTCAAAACACGGTTTGTTTGCAATACTCTTTAATCATTCCTCAATATCTTTTACAACGATTCATCGACATAAAACATGCCTCAATAACCGTGTTAAAAAGATGACTACTTAACGATACATCGCTAACGTAAAACAATCGCCTTTGTCATGATGATATCACATCCATTAACTTGTAGCCGTCTGTTGGCGTCTAAAACTACCTTGAAAGTCGGCATATGAAATCGTTCCTGTCAATTGAAAGAGTCTAGCACACTCCGCTTACACTTTTTTTACTGTTAGCTCCTTCGAAACAGATTTCAGATGATTTACAAGAGTCACAGCGGTCGGAAAAGTTACTGCAAGTTTGTACCGATGGACGTTGATCAAACTAATCAGATGTCTCGAACTGGACAGCAACTCAAACAGTCAGTAAATTAAATCTAATTCCAAATAAAAGTTTGTCGTGTAATCAAAAGCGATAAACATTTATACATATACAGAGTGGACTGACTGAGTTTTTACTTTTACAATTTTTCCGCACTGGTCTGTATATTGTGTAAGCATGATTTAGGGGCTAGATTCTTCTCCTGGTCAAAGCCCAGTTCATACTGCCAAATTTGATCCTCCGAAAGGGGCGTGATTTGCATCTTAATCAAGAATTGGATTTCTCTGCGTTTATATTTCATTCTAGCTGCCAATTCTAGACTTCATTGAATGCTGCATTTCAATCAAC